CTCCGCCTGCCTTCTTTATAGAGGAATAGAGCCTTACAGCACCAGAGTGGGGAAAGGCTGCCATGACACAGAGGCCTGTGGCTCTCTATTCTAGCCACTCATGAAATCTCCTGGAGAGTTTTTTTTTAAAAATACTGATATTCACACTGAATCTCAAGCTTAAGAAATTAGAATTCTTATGAGTGAGGTATTTCTAAAATGCTCCCTTGGTAATTCTAATGTGCAGCTAGCACCGAGAACTGTAAACCAGCTCAGTACCTTCATTTTAGTGAGAAGGAGGAGTCAGAAAAAGAGACACCAGGATCGAGGAGGAAGAGCCTATCATGTAACGTGGGTCAGATAAGAGCATTGTCAACTGTATTAAAATGCTTAAGAGGTGGGGAGGGCTGAGTAACGAGGAAAGGTCATTAAATTTAGTAACAAGGGTGATACTGTTGGACTGCCAGGCCAAATGGCAGAACAAAGCCAGCTCGTAGACTCTCTCCCCGTTAGCTAACGCAATGAACAGAATACTGTAAACAGACACAAAAGCCAAAAGGAAACAATAAAAATTTACCAGGTACAATTAAACAAGGAAAAAGAGACACCTTCATGTTATACACTTTTAAAAAGAGGCCCCAAGGGAAGAACCAAAATGTTCTCGAGTGGTGCGACGTGGTCTGGCTTCTGCTTGCTTTCTCCTCCTCAGAAACTCCACCAAGCAAAGAAGGTATATTAGCAAAATCTTGAGCCTTCTCACTAAGAACGCCTTTCGATTTGTAGAGAAGTGGACCCAGGGCATGGATTAACATCCCTGGGAGATATTGTAGACAAGTCTTCCAGATTAGAAGCCCTTCTCTCCCCAGGAGGCCTTGAAAGATGCTAGAAAGTCCACCAGGGCTTCCCACCCTCCCAGACGTCCTGCTGAGCTGGGGCCATGAGCCAAACCTCACGGGAGTTGTGTGTACACCTGGCTGGATGGAGCGAGCCCGTCACATTTGACACGATCTCAAAAGAACTTTCAGAACTCACGTCCTCTAGGCTCAGACTTTAGCTCCAGCTTGGCTCTACCTCCACCCTCTTCACATCAGCAACCTGCACAAAATTATGAACTGTGAGCAACACCTAGCCTTAAACCTGTAAAGTCCCATTCAACTAACTGGCCTCAAAATCAGATGCAGAACATGTCACGTAGAATGCATTACACCACATGAGAGCAATTAGACATCGGAGCAGAGCTGTCTATTGATGAGTCATTTCTGCTCTACAGGGATTCTATGCCTAATAACTAAACTAAGCTAAAAGAAAATTAAAGGTGAAAAGAAGAGAGTGTGCTGAAGATGGACAAGGACCAAGTCGGGAAGAAAACATGACCAAGAAATAGATTTCCTGTGAGTGCCTCATGCGATAGAAAAACCTTACTTTTAAAAATAATTTTTTTTTAGTTCCTGAAGATTCTAATAGTCTTAGAGAAAATAGTTTAAGAGGAGTGGTGAGGCAGAAACCAGAGCATAATGAGTAAAAGCCAGGCGTTATTAGGATAATGAGAACAAAGGAAAAACAGAAGCTTAGGGGTTTATCTGCAAAAAAAAAGAGATTATTATTATTTTTGTTATTATGAGATGGGATCATTGAGCATATTTATAGGCTAAAGGGAAGAAGTAATGAAAAATAGACAGTCTTATTGCCATTATTCTTAAAAAGGAAGAAAATTCTGTCACATGCTGCTACCCAGATAAACCTGGAAAACATTGTGCTAAGTGAAATCCACTCACTTGGGCCGTGAGACTCTCACTGAAAGGGAAAGCAGAATGGTGTTTGCCAGGGGTCAGGGGGGGTTGTTGTTCAGCGGGTTCAAAGTTTCAGTTTTGCAAGATGAAAAGGCCCTAGAGATCTGCCGCACAATTACACTTAACACTACTGCACACTGAAACATGGTTAAGATGGTGAATTTTATGTTTGTGCGTGTTTTTGCCACAATTATAAATATATAAATAAATAAATCTGGAGAGTCTTAGGGTCAAATGGTCACCTTTTGTCCCCTCACTCTGAGGGCTGCTGCTCATTTGTGTAGAATGGTTTACAGCCTCCCTGGTGGAGAAGAATCCCACTGGGGCCAAACTGACTCTTACTGTATCCTTTGGGCCACAATATAGAAAATAACTTGGACTAAACCATTTTTAGAATGATAGTTTAATAATTTTTAATGATAAGTTAATAACAGATGGCAAGCACTTTACGACAACTGGATCTGCGTGTATCTCGATCAGGGTTAAGTAACCAGTTGTGGACCCCCGGGGCCCAGCTTGCTGTAGAATCTGACAGCCCTTGCTGCTCTCGTTAGCCCGAGAAGGAACTGCGGCCTCTGTCTCGAGCAACAGCTTTGCTTTCTCAAACAGAGCCTACCCTAAAGCTCCAGTATCCATATAAGTTCTGGAATTCTCGCAGATGGATTTTCAAGATAATTCCTATTCACTTTGTAGCAATTCCCGTTCCGTACATCCACTATCCTGTTTGGTTATTTTTAGCATTACTCAAGCTGAAGAATCCGGTCTGTCTGTAAATGAGCTTTGCCCTCAAACTGCTTTTTCAGTGGTCAGCCAGGGGCTTTAAGAACCTCCAGGAATCGCAAGCTGTAGGGCTGGGCCCCCAGCAATGGATCACCCGGAAGATGAATTGAATGGGTTTCTCATTTCTCCCATGTGCAATAGACAGAACTTTCGCTAGCTTTAATTGCCTCCACCTCTCATTGATACCTGGCTTTTATAAAGAAGTGCTAGGTAGGTAGTTAAAAAATTAAAAGGTGTCCGTACCCATAGCAACTGCCGATGGAAAGGACCGACAGCTATTTCCAAGGATAGTTTAGATGAAAGACCTGAAGCTATTGTCGGCCAACCAGCACAGAGAGCAAATGTGTGGTATATCAGAGCAGCGATCCTTCCAGGAGAGGAATCTTCTGGAATCGAAGACATCCCAAGTGGCCTTTTAACAAACCCAACAGATATCATAGTTTACAAACAGTATGATGTCGTAATTTACTTCGCATTAGAGCGTAAGTGTTTCTATGGGTAACACGATCTTCATTTCCATCAGTTTTCATAATTGCTACATAATATTCTACCCAGTGGATATCATTTGTAGTTTTTAACTTTTCTCATGCTGTTTTATACTTTGCTTCTGATATGGCACTATTGGAAATAACGGTGATGAATATCTTTATCTATGTAGATTTTCCTATGTTGTGAGTTGTTTCCTTATAGCACGCTCTCAGAAAGGGAATTATAGAGTCAAAGAATGAGAACATTTTTATAGTCTTTGATCTATGCTGCCCAGTGGATTCAGGCAATTGAAGATCAGTTTCACTCTATCACTGTCAACCCTCAACATCATTAAAATAATTTTTATTATAATTAAGAGGGAGGAAGTGTCAATTTGCACTCATATGATTACTACTAAAATCAAACATTTTCCATATAGTATTTATTAATTTAATAAATAAGTATTTCTTAAATTATAATTAATTTCTCTCTTTGTGAATTATTTATGTGACAGTTTAGAAACCAGTGGCACAGAAGAAGTTAAGTTCTGGAGCTTTCTAATGCCTCAAACACCTCCTCTCACTCATCTCCACTACCTGTGAATAACAGGCCAGAAAAATCCCTGTTACTCTATACTACCACAGCGGGCCACTCTGCTGGGAACAAGCTTGTCACCATATGGTTACAGACAACCCCAAAATGCCTTTGCATTACCCACCACCGCCTCTGGCCACCCACTAGTATCTCAGAGAAGTGATGCTGCCATTTCTGCATTTTGACAACTCATGCCTGAAATCAGTGGTTCCCAAGTGCACATTAGAGTCACCTGAGGAAATTTTACAATTCCCAATACCCAGAACGTTCTACAAACCGATTATATCAGAGTCTCTGGGGGTGGGAACCGGGCATTGGTGTATTTGAAAGCTCGTTTGAGGATTACAACATGCAGGCAAGGTGGAGACCACTGCTTTCAATCCACAGCCCCACGGAGTACTGTGTAGACAGGTACAAAGTCCCTAACAGTACTGCTCCCGGGCAGCTCACAGCCCCATGCGGGGAGATTAAAGGGTTTGCATAGCAAGGTACATTCTGAACATTTTAGAATGGAGTCATTGTAAGTATACATATATGTACTTTATTAACTTTAACTTGATCAACCAGTGCCATCAACTCAATGGAATTTTTCTGTACTCAGTTTTTGTCATTAAGAGTTAAACTGTGTAAAAACACAGACTTGTTAAAAATGCGCAGGTGACAAAGACCGAGTTCATGAAGATCTCTGAACTTTCAGCCATTACTAACCTACAAGGTTGATTCTTCACATAGGGAGCTGATTTTTTTTTAAAGGATGACCTTAAAACACTTCCAGACTCTGACTCGCCTGAGAAATGATTGCTTATGTTCACTCTGCTATATTTACTAAGGCAAAATATATATATATGCAAATTGGAAAAACCATTTAGAAACTAGAGATAAAAAAGTTTTCACTTCCCTTAACAAGGAATTTAACTCATTGCACTATCTGTTCCTGAGGCTTCTGCAGCAGTATTTACCTATTCACTAGGTGGTGCTCTGGACAAATTCATAAATTGTTGGCTTTGCCACAGTAAATTTCCCTTTGGACTTTGTCTCTTTAGACAAAGTCCCATTCTGTGGCAGACATGACTATTCATTCACGATCTCAATCAAAAGCAATCAGAAACAGTTTTCTTACCTGTCGCCAGTAAGAAATAAAGTTAGGCTGGCTTGAACAGTATTGATAGCTATAGATCCAAATATCTCTAAAATTAAAAAAAAAAACCCTACTTTATCATTTTATTGAATCCTCCTGCATTTTCCTCCAATTATCAAGACAATTATAGGCTTTAAATGTATTCACAGGCTTTATCTTACAGACATTTAGTCCTTGCTTTTTTTTTTTTTTATTAAAGCCAATAATGAAATACAGCTCCAATTGTCTATATATAAACACCCAGACACACATTAGGCAAAGAATTGGATTTATTTTTATGGGTTAAAGCATCTGCATGTTATCTGAGACAGGATTAAATGGAAAGTGTTCCTGACTCTTCTCAACAGAAATAGGATCATCACTGGCCCTGGGCCTCATGGTTGAGTTTGCAGCTAGAATAATATACAGTATTCAGCAAAAGACACATTGAGCTCAGAGGCATCACCCAGGGTGGAGTTGCTGCCCAGAGCGGGCTGTGCAAATTCTCAGGAAGCTAGATCAGAATTTCCAGAGGCAGCTGGTCACTGCCATCCCTCCTGCTACTCTGGAAAGGGCAGGGTTCTTGACCATCCAGGAGGCCCAAATGCCAAATCGTGCTCAGGGTTCATCGTCACCTAACCGTGGGCTTTGACTCATGGATTTTTCTTTCTGGAATTTACGTTGGCATAGACAGGCCTTTAGAACAACTTCAGGTTCTTCTGTTGTAAAACTAAACTCGATACCAAGAGCCAGAGAAGGGCGAAGACATGTTTGTTTCCCTCTAGCACTAGGAGAAATGTCACCTCCGATAAACCGGATATCAACGAGCAGGGAAAACAACGGTAACACTTCGTCCTTGCATTGGCAGGGCCTGGCGTTTGGCTGGTCTCTGGTCCTGCCTCAGCAAATATGATGCACTTGACGTTCAGAGTAGTTTCTTGGATGAGGAGATCCGTGCCTGAGTGTTTACATGGCACTGTTTCTGATTGCCAGTTGATACTCTTTCCCGTCACCCTCCGGGGGCCAAGCCAGCCATGGGCAGGGCTAGCCAGCTCCCTCGCTCCTTCTGTGCTGGTGCTTTTTCATGCACACTCTTTCCTCTTTCTAAGGTAAGTTCTCCAAAGAAAATAGGGTGCTTGGAACAAACACACAATTAAATATGGAAGATGAGAGAAGGGAGAAGACAAACTTGTCACCTTGAATCTGGGCACATACGACAGGTAGGCACTGCCTATGAGATGAGTGCTCTCCCTGCGTGAGGCCAGCCAAGCTGAAAGGACCTCCTATTCCTGTAAGAACAACCGAGAGAAGGGAAGCTGGGGTTTAAGTGGCGTTAGCCTTACCTCTAGTGGCCAACTTGAGTGTGGGTGTGGCTCTTCCTTGTGCTGGAGAAGTGAGTGGGAGATGAAGAGAGACTTGGATGACTCAGAGAAGGGAATGAGGTCACACTACGGTTGGGCCCCCCTAGAGCTCCCGCCAAGCAATCGTGTGCCACGCACTTTACATAGATGATATCCTGTAACACTCCAAACAGCTCTGGGTGATGTTGCCATCTCAACTTTACAGATGAAAAAAAATCAAAACTTTAAAATGTCGAGTGTTGTATTCAGCATCACGCAGTAAGTAGCCAAGTCTGAGTTTGCATCCAGGCCTGTCTGCCTCCCAGTCTCACAGGCTGCCGTGTGCAAGAGATCTAGGTTTGCTGCTTAACCTTCCTGTCTTCGTCTTTATCCTTTAACAGGAGCAAACAAGTATTCCTGAATGAAGTGCTCGCTCCCCCAGGGAACAAGGCATGAGGAGTGAGAGAGGGAGAAGGGGAGGATCTTGCTCTATTAAAGGATGATTAAGCACAACAAAGCTGAGTCTGATGGTAGAAATGTTGGTTGCTTTTCTGTTGCAACCAACATTTGTTTTCTCAAAGGAAGATGACACATACTACCAAGGCTCACTCTTATTTTTAAAATATGAAGACATAGCCCAGAGCTATTTTTATCAATTCCCCCTCCCAAAGCCTCAGCTGTAGCTCCTCAACAAATGAAAGGTATATTTAAAACAGAACAGAGATTTCATGCTAGACACGATATTATAAAGTCTCTTAAATATGTAGATTGTCCATAGCACTAAATATCCTTTACACCTGGGGCCCCCAACCCCTGGGGCCATGAACCAGTACCATCTGTGGACTGTTAGGGAGGTCTGCTGCCCCATAGAGGTCTGCTGCCCCACCCCCTTCTCCAGGCTGTGGAAAAATTGTCCTTCATGAAACTTAGGTACCCGGGGGGGCCACACAGCAGGAGATGAGTGGCAGTGGGCAAGTGAGCAAAGCTTCATCTATATTTATAGCCGTTCCCCATCACTCACATCACCGCATAAGCTCCGCCCCCTATCCCCCCCCCCCTCCGTGGAAAAATTGTCTTCCATGAAACCAGTCCCTGGTGCCAAAAAGGTTGGGGACCGATGTTTACACATTAGCACTGAACACAGGATTTCAAGCAGAATATATGACCCATTTTAATAAGGAAGACTTTTTAGCTGAGGTGGATATTTCCATTTATTCCAGAAAGATTCTGTCCAAGGAAGCAAACACCACATTCAAAGCTTTGGTTTTCTCAGAAACAGACATGTATGCAGTAAAATCATCAAGATTTGCATTACACAAAAGACGAGATGACTTCATCAGATTCAAAATCTCAACATAATTTGATAAACTGTTGAGAGGAAACAACCTCTCCAGAGATGTGAGGGCACTTGGATCCAGCAGTGAGTCTTTGGTTGAGCTGAACCAATCACAGCCCTTGTTGGCATTTTATTTTACCTTAGGACCAGAGTGAGAGTGCGTCCGTCCTGTTCTAGTTTTAGAAACGGCAAGTTGTAAAATTGGGGGCAGTCTGTAGAGATAATGGGGTCCAAAGGCAGAGAAAAACAGAAACAGAGCTTTTCTTCTGACATTCAAGTCTCTCATTATAGTTTTTCCTTGTGTTGAGTTGCATTCTTGCCTTTCTTGATGTTTGCCTGTTTGTTCAACCCGTCTTTTGATTATAGAAGAAACTCTAGTATCCTATTAAATCCCTTCATGTGCTTTAGCTCATTTGAGTTAATCTTTTATCACATTCAAGGAAAGGAAAAAAAAAAAACAACTCATGATTAATGCACCATCAAACTGAAAATATATGAACTATTTGTCTCAAGGAATTTCAGGGCTATGTCAGAATTTTTAGTTCTTGATATAAGGAGGCCAACTTCTTTGATAGAGCTGCCAAATGATCCCTACCTTAAAAGGGCCCTGCAAGATCTGAGGGAGATGAAAGCAGTCAGAGGAGAGCCCTGTTGTGGATCAGACATTTACATAAAAGGAAAGCACCGCCACGCATCTGCATAGGAGCACCGCTGCCTGGCTGGTGGGAAATGCTAATGAGAATCCCATTCCCTGCTCCTGGGCTTGCTGAGCTGCCCAAAAAGGCACTGCCTTGATGTGCCTGTGAGATTCAAGCCTTTGAATGTAGAGATGGAATCTTCAAAACAGTGCTCGGCAGAGAGGTTGCATGTGATCCAATTACATACAAGTCATGTCAGTGATTAACAGTAACTCTTAGACAATTCAAGAATGTCATTTATATGAATGAACACCACTAGTGACTTCCTTGCTGGACAGAAACCTCAAACGCCAGGCTACCACCTTGCAAACACCCTACAGCACAATTCCTATGAAACCTTCCCAGCCTCCATAGAATCGGGTCCCCCTCATCCCTTGGGCCCAGGAATTTGAGGTTACAGTGAGCTGTGACAGTGCCACTGCACTCCAGCCTGGGCAATAGAGCAAGACCCTATCTCTAAAAAAAATAAAAATTAAAAAAAATAATAATAATGTAAAAATGAATCAGGTCCTTCCTTAGGCAAGGGTGAAGGGGCAGGTCCAGGGGAGGAGGAAAGAGGGGCACGTGTTCTCTAGTTGCAGAAGGTCCAAGAATGGGCCAGAACTTGGCTCCCTGGGTCAGCATCTGCAGGTGTCATCCCTGCCCCCTGGGGCCTGAGTTTTTTGGAAGGAGAAGCCACATCCCTCCTGGCAAGAGAAGAGGAGAAAGGGCCAGTTCCAGAGAAAACATTTAACTTGGCAGCTGGCTCCATCTCCCGTTCAGCACCACTCTTGCAATGCCTACGGAGTGGGTTGAGTAGCGTCCAGGTTCATGTCCACCCAGAACCTCAGAAGTGACCTTGTTTGGAAATAGGGTCTTTGCAGGTGTCACTGTCAAGAATCTTGAGGATAAATCATCCCGGATTTAGGAGGGGCCCTAAATCTAATGACTGGTGTCCTACCAGGAGGAAAGGACAGAGAGACACGGACAAGAAAGAAGGTCTCGTGCAGAGGGAGGCGGGGATCAGAGAGATGCTGCCGCAGGGCGCAAGTGCCAGGAGCCACCAGAAGCCGGGAAGAGCAAGGAAGGCGTTTTCCCCCGGCCTTCAGAAGGAGCACTGCCCTGCTGGCACCTTCATTTCGGACTTCTGACCTCCAGAACTGTGCGAGAATAAGCGTCTGTTGTTTTAAGCCACGTAGTTTGTGGAAATTTGTTACAGCAGCCTGTTTTGAGTGAAACTCTTCCAGTTTCTCTATCAACTTAGCTGGTAGCTATTGTTCTCAGTGGCCACAGGAGGACCGGACAAAAGTGTCCACCTGCATGGGGCCCTCCAGGGAGGCCTTGCTGTCAGGTGTCCCATAGTGAGCACAGCTTCAATGACACACCCACAGGGTGAAGCTTTAAGAGTGTTTAGTTCTTACAGACCCTGGGGGTACACGGGGCACCTGGAGGCCACACACACATGTCATGGAGCTCAGGCAGGGAGAGAGAAGAGGTATGACAACTAGCAGCAGATACCAGGGAATGGGCCACTTCAAGTTCAAGGGCAAATGCCTGAACGGTCCCTTTAAAGGAAGTGCAGGAAAGCAGGGAGCCCTGTCTGCCGGGTGGGGAGAGATGTCCCTAAGTCCTTACCTCTGGCCACCGACTTGAGCCATTGGAGTGTGTCAAGGGTGCCTGAGCCCTGCCTCCGGCATGAGAAAGCTAAACCCGCATTTAAAATGGATCCCAAAGCAACAGAAAATTAAAAGCGCTCCCTGCACAGCCACGAGACGCCACTGCAGCCTGGAGGCCCTTTAGTCGTCCCTCTGAACCCAACAGCAAAGCCTCCCGCACAGCCCCGCTTTCTCTCCACAGCCCCTTCCCTACACCACCGCCTCCCCCCTCCACTTTCCCGCCCGACATCAAAGCCCCATGTCCTAACTGTGGCCCACATCAGCTCAAGATTCAAAGAAAATCAGTTCAATTGAACCAATTCTCATTAGAGAAGATAATACCACCATTTGCCCAGAACATTTCCATTTTTTAAGGGGATTCTTAAAAACAAATCATCAAGGCCGGGCGCGGTGGCTCACGCCTGTAATCCTAGCACTCTGGGAGGCCGAGGTGGGCGGATCGCTCGAGGTCAGGAGTTCGAAACCAGCCTGAGCAACAGAGAGACCCCGTCTCTACTATAAACAGAAAGAAATTAATCAGCCAACTTATATATATAGAAAAAATTAGCCCGGCATGGTGGCGCATGCCTGTAGTCCCAGCTACTCAGGAGGCCGAGGCAGGAGGATCGCTTGAGCCCAGGAGCTTGAGGTTGTTGTGAGCTAGGCTGACGCCACGGTACTCACTCTAGCCCGGGCAACAAAGTGAGACTCTGTCTCAAAAAAAAAAAAAATCATCATTTGGTAGAATTTCCTATATGGGGGAATATTTGAAGACTAGACACATTTTCACTTCCCAAGGAGAAACACTCACCTCTGGGCTTCCCCAGGGTAGGATGTCGGGGGTCTTTCAAGGCACCTCTGAGCAAGAACTCAGTCCTTCCTCCCCCTACCTGGTCCCATCAGACAAGCTTATGTCAAAAATACTTACCTCATTTTTGCTGGGTATATTCCTAGCCCTGCACCCCAATGCAACAAACAGGAGAACTGAAACTGACCTTAGCAATCGCCTCTCTCCAAGTCCTCATCTTACAGATGAGGAAACAAAGGCCCAGTATTGGTGCCACACGATTCACAGGACTGGGATAAGAACCACAGTCTCTTCCACTCCAAATGCGGTGACATTCATTGACTCCTTCCCCTGTGCCGAGCACTGTGCTCAGTGCTTTGGACACATTAGAGCATTTCAGTCGCTCTGAGACATGCACATCCTCCACTAAATCCACCGCGTATGGAAGAACGTACAGGAAGAGTCTGTTACCAAAAAAGAAAAAAGATGGCAAGAAGATGGTACAAAACATTTCTTCTCCCACTGAGAACCTTTTATAATAGCTCGTTGGTTCAGAAGGCATCTGAGTGATCTTTCTCTTTCTGGTCTTTCTGCCTCCGGAGCCTTTTGGCCTTTTCTACCCTTTGTTCTTCCCCACGGGTTGGCTGCCCGCATGGGGAGGGGTCACGGTGAGACCCACGTGCTCTGAGCGCCAGTCCTGGGGTAGCATGCAGTACTGTCGTTATCTGAACGTTATCTGAATGAAGGCTTAGCCTTTGTCCTTTCTTCCTATGGACTCATTCAGCACCTGGATTGAAGATGGCCAAGGAGAGAAGGAAGAGGCGGAGCAAAAGAACACCCCGTCCTGCCCGTCCTGCCCCAGGTGGATACGAGCACTGCACCTGTGTCATAGATGAGGCATCTGACGCTGATTGAGGTTACCCAAGGGACGCTCCAAGTTGCTGCGAAGTGTACAGGGCTGATGTCTCCCACCAGCGCTTTCTGCTCCCATCCATACCGCTCGGTCGCGATCTTTTATATGATAACTCATACCTCTCAGTTGCATGGCCCACATTTCCCAGTTCGCCCTGGAGGGAAAACAAGGCCATGTCAACAGAAATAAAGAATGTTTCTCTGCCTCTGCAGTCACTTCTCTCCAAGGCCTCCTGCTCTCTCCTCCCGCCTCCAGCCTCCACCCCTGGGGGTTTCCCCAATGCTTATTCACACGCCCTGGCTGCTGGCCCTGCTTGCAAGACAGATAAGGGGACTGAGCTTTGTACTGCTGCTGCTGCACCTGCCGAAGCTGGCACCAGCCCCACCGTGCAGCCGCTGCCGCTGGTCAGTGTCCCCACCGGCATCGCACTGCGGGTGGCTCTGAGCGGGGGACAATCTCCTTCCACACGTTACACAGAGACCTTTAGATACACCAGTTATTTGGCATTGATACCTGAACACCTTTATTTCTCGAGCACACAGAAGGACATAAGCCATATGCTGGAGCCCCTTCTTTTTCTTCATTTCTTCCTGGTGGATGAAAAAAGGAAATGGTGGCTGGAACTGGAGCTACCACCATAGAGAATAAGTTGTCCCTGGAAAGGAGGCTTTGGGCCACTGACTGTATCACCTGGCCCGCTTGCCTGCAGACTCTTGTGTGAGTGAGAAAAAAAACTTCTGTCTCCTTTGACCTGCTGCTATTTGGGGGTTTCTGTACCTCACAATTGAGCCCAATCCTACTAATATCCTCTAGCTTCATTTGTTCCTGATGCCCGTGCATAGTTGCAAGCAACAGAACACATGGCCGGTGAGGATTTGAGTGAAAAGACACTTTGCTGCCCCCCATTAGAAGAAATCTTGAGGTAGGCAGTTTCAGAATCTGTTGTACAGTTCAACAATATCAGGATGCAAGGGTAGCATCTCTGTGGTTCTCCTGAACTGCCACTTCTGGTCACAGTCTGGCTGCAGCAGCACACTCTCTTACACCAGCGCCCAGAGCAGGAAGGAACTCTCTCTAGGATCAGTAAGAACCTTACACCTCACTGCCCACCTCGATTCTGGCCGCTGCCAATGGGCAGCAGGATTGCCCAAACTGGCTTAGCCTACGGTAATTGATTCCCTCTGCCAGGAGGCATGTTGCCATTCAAATAAAACCATTGTTCTCAGGAGACAAGAAGGGAGAATGGCTGGGGTGTGCAGGGAAGGGCAGGCAACCAGCAATGTCTGCCCCACCAACCAAAAAGCTCAGCCTGCAGGGATAAAGGCATTCTGGTCCTTGGTTTGATTTCATTCTACAGTTGGGTTGACATTGTTCTGAAACTCCAAACCTACTGTCGTGAACTTGGGGCTTGCAGCTTTTCTACTTAGAATAGCCTGATTATTTCGGGTTAAAGAAGAACTAAGTGGAAACACTATTTAGCCAACCTAACAATTAGAAAAGATGATGATTTTATCTTTTATGCGATCAGCCTCAGAGAGAAGCAAGAGCTGTATATTTTAAGGAACACCAACCTCGGTGGCTTCTGAGCCACTCTCCCCTATTCTGCTTCCCTGGACTGATGGTTCCATTCTTGAATCCGGTGTCTGTGCTCTTCCTCCATGGAGCTCTCTGGGGCTCCTTCCTCGGGCAGTTTCCTCCCTCTCTCCCAGGCTGGCCCTGTACCTTCCCTTTTGTTATTGTTCCTTTTATTTCTTTTGCGTCTCTTGCCTCTTCCTTCTCCCGCCTGCCTTTCTACTGCTCCTAATATTTGAAGAATCCATGGTAGAATCTGTTGTTTCATTAGATTTGTTTCCATGTTTACTATTCTTACCTGTAAAGGCAGGTGAGTTAAATGTTTGTGCACTGCCCTCATAGAAAAAGCTTTTACAAAATTAAATGAAACAAATCACACACACACACACACACACACACACACACACACACACAAATAGACTTCCCCTGTATGTGCCACGTGACTGATTAATTACATCCAGTATTTGGTCTTGTGATGGGAAGGACTAGCAAAAAGCAATATCCTTTCAGGCTCTCTTCTTTGATTTGATCTAATTAATTCAGCCAAGCTCTGGCAGACAGTGCAAAGCCATATGGGCTGTCATGAAGCCCAGCAAATATTCATGTAGCTGGAACCTCTCGGGTACTTGGCTATCAACACGGAGCTCTGGCTTGGACCCAGCACTGAGCAGGAGAGTCCTGCATAGGGGGGTGCTACGGACTGAATTGCATTCCTCCAAAACCCATATGTTGAAGCCCTAACCCCCAATGTGACTATATTTGGAGACGAGGCTTTTAGGAGGTAATTAGGTTAAATGAGGTCATAAAGATGAGACCATAATTCAGTAGGACTGTGGCCTTATAAAAAGAGGATGTGAGAACACCACAAGCAGGTAGCTGTCTGCAAGCCAGAAAGAGAGCCCTCGCCAGAAACCAAATCTGCAGGCACCTTGATCTTGGACTTCCCAGCCTCCATGACAGTGAGAAAATAAATTTCTGTTGTTTAAGCCACCCAGTCCGTGGTCATTTGTTATGGCAGCCCAAACAGACTAATAAAAAGGGTATAGTGTCAGAGCCACATGATGAGGGACAAGACTAAAAGCAACGTGGAACTATTGCCCCACCCAACCTGCTCTCAGCTCCTGTAGCTGAAGTTTCACCCTCCTAAGTAGACTTATTTTGTCCATCGATGAATCAATGGAGTAAACTCTGGCTCCTAGGGGGTGGGGATGGTGAGAAAAGGAAACTTTGCTAAAATGAATGATATCTCTTTCGCATCTGCAGTGATTTCTCTACCAGACTAGGAAGTCATAGATCAAGGCACCAGCAGATTCAGTGTCCGATGCGGGCTCACTCCCCAATTCATAGATGCCCTTCATCTCAGTGAGTCTAAACATGGCGGAGGGGCGAGGGAGCTCTCTGGGGCCTCTTTTATAAGGGACACTAATCCCATTCCTGAGGGCCCCACCCTCAAGACCAAATGACCTACCAAAGGCCATCACACTGGGGAGTTAGGATTTCAACATGTAAATTTTGGGGTGAGGACACAAACATTCAATCTGTAGCATTCTCCTCAACTACCATTTAGTTACCCAGTGGCACAGGTCATATAGGGACAGCAGGATAAATGTAGTTAATTATTGTAACATTAATGTAAATTGGTCTTTACATTAATGAGTTGGTCCACCATCCTTCTCCAGTGCCAATAGTTTGAGTTGCTTTTTTATTCTTTGTATTATAATGAACTTGTGGGTCTTAACATATTTTATGTGTTTCAATCCATTGCCGTTATCATCCTTAATAATGTTAAAATGGTTCAAACGTTAGCCAGGGAAGCCCCTTCAGGTTGGATCCTGAGTCCTTTTGACATGACTTAGTAATCTTTAACGTCTTCCTTTCATCTTTGCTCTCTGATCCAGAAAGATATTTCAGGCTCTTCCTATACATTTCCTGACCCAGACCTGGAATCAGTCACTTCTTCAACTAACTGTGTTTCTCTTTAGTAGGAGTTGGTATTGCATGATCAGAGTTTGGCTGGGGGGATATACATTGCTATGAGCTTGATCATTATTGTCTCTGTATTTCCATAGACGTAACTAGAAAACTGTTTTTTTTTAAAAGATAAAATATGTCATGAGGGCATATTGGCACTTCCAATTCAAATGCAGGAGTAAAGGGTTTACTTAACCTTTTCTATCTTAAATATGTCCTTTCTCACCTACCAGTAAAAGCTATTGTCAATGACACTGGGAATGATACAATTAGAATGTCATACTGTTATTCACTTGCTTTATCCCACAAATTCACTGCTTTATACCTACAGCAGTATTGGAGAAGTAATTCCAGCACTCACCAAAATTATGAATGCTGTAACCAGTTCAAGATTTTTTTCAGTTGTGTTTATCCTTAAGATATATCCCGCTAAAGATGTATGGTCCAATTATTGTGTTTGAAGTCTCTTAAAGTATTCTCTCTTCTGTGGCCATCTTGCAGAATGCAGATCCATAAGGTTTGAGATCTGCCAGTGCAGACCAAGCCAGAGCAGAGGTAAAGGACCAGTCTAGAAATGGACCATATTCTTTCCAAGAGCATCAGATGCATTCACATCCAACTTAACTTTACCTCTGCTTACTTCACGTAGACCTCCTAAATCCTAGTTTCCCTACTGTCTCACCCCATCCTCAGCTATGCCAGTACCACCTTCCAACACCCCGAATACCAGGCCTTGTGGTAAAGTTATCTTTACCCAATACATAGGAATATAAATCAAGATTTATTAAAATGTTCATATAGCTTTGATGCAGTACTTCTGATAATTTATAAGTAAATTAAACAAAAAAGGGGAAAAAATATATGCTACAAAGATTTTAGTAATCCGTGGACTAGATGATACTTAAACTTTAAAATGAAAAAAAACACTTTCCTAAAGAACTTATTTAAAATGTAGATGCTGTTTGTGACTTCTACACACATTTGCCTGACAGCCAATTAGATTAGGTACTTTTTCATATGCCTATCGGCTATTTTATTTCCTTTTTTTGTGAACTGTCTCATTTATATAGAGGTTTTCCCATTTTTTTCCTATGAATTTCTCAGTTCTTACCTTATTGATTTGTAGGAGTTTTTAACAGTCAAGACACTAGCCTTTTGTGGCAACATGTTGCAACTATTTTTTTCTATTCTGTGATTTGCCTTTTTACTCTGTGATTCATGTTCATGAAGAGTTCTAAATTTTAAAGTTAAATTTATCAAGTTTTTCCCTTTTGATTAAGAAATTCTTCCCTATTCTTGGGTCATTGAAGTTTTCTTATCTTCTTTATAATGTATAGTCTTACCTGTCACATTTAGTTGTCTTATCTTCCTAGAATGGATTTTTATGTACGATACGAGGTAAAGGTCAACTTTTACCTCTTTCTTTTTTTTTAAGAGACATTGTCTCAGGCAGGTGCGGTGACTCACACCTATAATCCTAGCACTCTGGGAGGCCTAGTTGGGCAGACCGCTCAAGGTCAGGAGTTCGAAACCAGGCTGAGCAAGTGCGAGACCCCGTCTCTACTAAAAATAGAAAGAAATTAATTGGCCAACTAAAAATATGTAGAAAAAATTAGCCGGGCATGGTGGCATATGCCTGTAGTCCCAGCTACTCGGGAGGCTGAGGCA